CTTCCCAGCCCTAAGCATCCCTCCATAAGTAAGAGATATATGTGGTTTTATCTCCCAATTTGCCTCCTTTTAAAAACAGGCATTAATAATTCTTAAATGCATTCCCACATCTCTCCTCACTCCATCTCCAGCAACATGAAGAGGGTGGATTTACTTAAATTTTCCCCTCCTCCATTGTTCTAAAAATTGTTCCTCATATTCTCTTGCTCTCTCTCAAAGGATCTGCAAAGCACCGCATGTCAAGCAGATTAACAGGCTGCGACACGAACCCTTTTCTCTTTAAAGAACTCTCCTTGTTTACGCCAGTAAGCTGCACATTGTCTACTAGGCACAAGTCTAGAATAGTTGGGTTGCTAATATTTTCTCCATGGGAGTAAATGGTGAGGGACGAAGGGTCTATTAAGTGTTCAGAACCATTCAAATCTATATATAAATGCAAGTTCTGCCAGTCAGTTTCAGTGGGAATGCAGACTGCCACCCACAGCGCTTCTGAATGGTTCCAGTACAAAAGAGCTCATTCCCATCTTGTGCGTGAGCAGTGTTGTGAAAAGAAAATGGTGTTTTTTTTTAAAAAATGGAAAAACACATTCTAAACAAAAATAGCCCAAATTTGGCAATTAATAATGGGATAATTGTACTAAGACTTTCAGCCCAGTAATATGTATTTGCTATGAAAAAGGTGTGATAACACACATATAGACAGAAAGTCAAACTAGACAATGCAGTTAGCATATGTCTCTTAAGAGGAAAGGTATCTCATCCTAGCACAAGCCTCTTCTCTGCATGCTGCAAATTACCTTACTTTTATGTCAGACGTTTGGAAATTGGATTGCCAAGCCACAGAGCTTTGAAGATATTGTGTGCCTGGTGGGAAAATATGCCTTCAGCTGCTACTGTATTTTTCCATGTATAAGACTATACTTTTGTCTAAAATCTTTAGACTAAAAATTGAGGGTCGTCTTATACACGGAAGTAAGCTGAGGAGAGAACAAACACAAGTGGAGGGGAAAGCAGGGATCAAAGTGATCCTGCAGTGGCTTTGATCTCTTCCCCCCTACACTTGCTAAGCCCCACTTAGATTTCTTCATTTGGGGTTAGAAAACTGGGGGGCGTCTTATACGCGGAAAAATACGGGTAATTGCAAAATGGCGAATTTTGTGTCATGGTCAGAAGTTAAGGGAAGTTAGTATTCCTTCCTGATGTCTTGGTTGAGACAAAAGAGAATGCTTAATGGTAAAATGCTCTGTAAACCTGTATGCTTTGAACTAATGGGTGTGGCAGAGGTGCGGTGGTGTTCTTTATGCAGCGGTCCCCAACCTTTTTGGGACCGCGGACCGGCTGAGCCTCAGGTTGACGACCTCTGCTTTATAGGCTCTTTTGTTTGGAGTCTATGGCTGTGTTCACACCGAACTATAACACATCATTTTGGAGGATTCTGGCTGATGAGGAGCGTGCTTCCTAATCATTCTCATTTGGCTCCTCCTGTGACCATGGTAAGGAAGAACTCACTAAGAAGAAGAAAAACTGGCATGACATGTGAGCCTGACATATGGCACATTTTTTTAAAAAACTAGCTAGAAATCAGAAACCAACTTCAAACCCTGACTTCAGAGCCTGGATTATTAGAAGAAACAACGACACCTTCAAAAACGATTGAAGTCACTTCACAGCATTTTCGGTTATTTCACATAATGCATGCCCTGGTGGGGTTTTAAACATATGCATTGGCATAATGTTTACACCATGCTGGATATCTTTGCTAACTGGCCAATGCTGGGAGGCTTTCCAGCTACTGACAACGGAGGGTCCAGGTTTGACCTGCAGCAAAATTTGAGCCACCAGACTTGCCCCTCAGACAAGCACTGTGTTGCTGCCCAGCCAGTGCTGGGGAGGTTTCCCAGTGGCCTTGTCACTGGCTGGCTGGCAATACTCACATTGCTGGTGGGGACACTTTCAGCACCTCCTTTTTCCATGCATGGGAAACGGGTGATGTTGACCCAACCCTGCCACTATCAGTCTCAGTGGGAGCTTCCCAATGCTGGCCAGGCTGTGATCCATGGACTGCTCCACATCCTTCATTAATGCTAGGATTCACATTAAAGCGCGGCGTGTGAAAATAGGTGGTTTCATGCCTGTTTTAGATAACCTGCAGTTAAAAAAAAGTGCTTTGGGTTATCTGAAAGGTGCCGTTCCTGCTTAAGAAGCTCAGTTCAAAGGCAGAAACAAGCTTTTCCTTCTAGTGAGTTGCCAGTTACTGTAGATGTTTCTGCTAGCGAGAGGAAGCAAGCAGGACTGATCCAGCAACATGCCTCAGCACTCTTTATGGAAAACAAGCTTCCCAGCCTTCTCTTTTGTGCAAATGTGGCCGATCTCAAGAAACAAGAGAGATTTGCTAGCAAAGCTTGTCTTTTGTTTTGCCTTAAAAGGGAATCTAATTAAAGAACTGAAATTAATTACCTTGAAACATCTCTAAACCATACACATATAGTTGTTTTTTCATATGGTTTTCATATAGTTGTTTCATTACTGAAACGGCGACATCTATATTGGCTCGGGCATGTCGTGAGAATGGCTGATGGTCGGATGGTTGGATTCCAAAAGCTCTCCTATGTGGAGAATTAGTGCAGGGAAATCGCCCCAGAGGGAGACCACGGCTGCGATACAAGGACATCTACAAGTGGGATCTGAAGGCCTTAGGAATGGACCTCAACAGATGGGAAACGCTGACATCTGAGCGTTCAGCCTGGAGGCAGGCGTTGCATCACGGCCTCTCCCAATTCGAAGAGACCCTTGTCCAGCAGGCCGAGGCAAAGAGGCAGTCACAAAAGCAGCAAAACCAGGGAGCTGGACACGGGACAGATTGTGTTTGTCTTCAGTATGGAAGGGATGGACACTCTCTAGTGTCTCACAGCATCACACTCACAGCATCTAGTGTGGACACTCAGCCACACTAGATGCTGTTCCAAGACCTCCAATACAGAGCACATTACCATAATCTTTCGAGACTGAAGGATGCCTAACTAAACTAATAGTTGTTTATGGGGGAAAAACATTGTCAATGTATTCCAGCTAGAGATGGGCATGAACCTCGATTCGGAGGTTCATGCTGGTTTGTACGCACAGCACCACAGGTGCTGCGTGTTCCCTTCTCCTGCATCCCCAGCATCATCTCCCACACCCTCCTCTCCTCCTCCTGTTTGGCAGTTCAATCAGTCTCCAGCAGGAACACAGGCTTCCCTGCCCTGCCTCCTTGGTCAGTTACCCACTCCTACCGGGGGGGACAGCTGAAGGGCAGTGCGCTCCAACTGGTGAGTCACCGGCTGGGGAGGTGGGTGAAGGGAACGTGGGGGCACCTGTGATGTTGTTTGTATGAACTGGCATAAACCTTCTGAACCGAGGTTCGTGTCCATCTCGAATTCCAACCCAACTAACCAGATCACGGCAATCCATTTCTAAAATCAAAAAGTGAAAACGTAGTAGTTTTCAGTCACTACAGAAGAAATCATGGCCCTTTTGGGATGTACTGCTAAACCATGATGCACTGTGTAAATGCTATGTATGCCTGCCCTTGTGCCCTCCTGCACATTTCTCCCTTGAGCATGGCTATGAGAAGGAGAAAAACAGGGCGAAAGACTTCAAACTGTCCAGTGTTTATTTTTACATCCTAACACAGTTTGTCCAAACAAATCAACTCAGCAATAGTTTACAATCATAGCTTGATAACAAGCTATAGTTTAAAACCAAAAGATCTGCCCAATTCAAATCCAATGAAAACCTAGTTAGTTTAGAACCAGAGATAGATGTATCCAGTGGCCAACCATGACTTAGCAGTATTTTTAAATTGGGCCAGTGAATTTCTCAACATAAATACAACCCTGATGCTTGCCTTCTAATTTACAGGCATTTCCTATCTTCTGGATTATTTACCACATTTAAAAACAGTTCTTGATAAGTCTTGGATACACTCTGGGACACTCATCCTCCCTTAAAAAGTATTTAAGCAATTTTTATGGTAAACTGGCAGATTTGCTTGAGAAATCTAATTGCTTGAGAGCATAATGCGTTCTTGGCACAACATACACGGGAACAGAGGATGTGCAAGTATGATCCACCAGTTTCAGAGTCTGCAAGGAGCTTTCTATGCTCACAAATAAAAACAGGAGAGAAAAAAACACACACCCAATATGAAGGATATCATTTATAACTGAAATTCAGGCTCAGGAAACACGTGGCCATTTTCCAGTTTGAGTTATCCTGAGTCATTATGAAGCCAGTAATGGTGGAAGTTCCTATTTTCAGAGTGAAAGGGTTGTGCAGGCAAAGGCTAGAGAACTTTTCCCCTTCTGTGATTTAATGTCTCCCCACTTTTCTTCAAACTTGATTTATTCACTTGGGGAATCAAAGCATAAATAGAGAACTTACAGAGGTGGCTGCAAGCAGAATGAAGAGGGGTCAACTTTCCTGTTGCTCCATTTTGCTCTTAAGAAACAGACTGCCAACTTTCTATATAATGGGGCAGACCCTGGTTTAAATAAACACATCATGGGTGGCTGGACCCTTAAAAACTGTGGTTCTGTCAATAGTATCTGCCTAAAGGAACAGCTGATTATTTCATATACTTCAAAACCACACCATCTTATAAAAGCTGGGAAACGTTTAGTGCCTCCTCAAAATATTATAGAAGGAAAATGCACTTGAGCTCTACCAATTTCTGCGTGTTTGTAAAGCCTTAAGTGCTTTTTGAGCATTTAAATGGATCAAATAAATCCATTCCAAAGAATGCAAATAAATGGTAGCACGCCCTCCATAAAGGTAAAGTTTTCCCTTGACATTTAGTCCAATCATCTCCAATTCTAGAGGGTGGTGCACATCCCCGTTTCCAAGCCGTAGAGCCAGCGTTTGCCCGAAGACAATCTTCTGTGGTCACGTGGCCAGCGCAACTAGACACACAATGTTACCTTCCCACCGAGGTGGTACCTATTTATCTACTCGCATTTTTACATGCTTTCAAACTGCTAGGTTGGCAGGAGCTGGGACACACCCTCCATACAATCTGACAAAAACACAGCAGGCCTGCCCATCTTTGACAGAAGGCATATGGCACTTGAGAACAGCTAGTTCCATAAACCAGAGACGAAAATAACTACTATGTGCATCTAAATCTTGACTTAAAGCTGCCAAGACAATATAACACTTTTTTTTAAACAAAGGTCCCCAGTTGCAGAACAATATTAAAACAGTTAAATACTTAATAGTTTGCCATGAGGTACATGTAACTGGAACAATGTTGTCTTCTCAAACAGGGTGACAACTTTTTTAGTTCGTTTGCTAAACTATTCATACATGGTACTAAACAAAACCCAAACAAATCTGAAACCCACTGAATACTGCTCTCTCGAAAACCCAGGGCTGTTCGAGAAGGAGCATTCATTCTCCCTAAATGCATCTGATTTCTGCCATCCACATATTCTCCTTGTTCTCATTAATACAGTGACATTTTCCATGACTGGTTTTCCATCCCTTCTGCAAAACAAGGTTTATTTTTTGGATTGGTTTGTTCCGAGAGCAGAGTTTAGCGCTATGACACTTCCCATGTTAAGTTCATTTCTGCAGTCAGAGCCACCAAGTCAGAAACTTTTAACTAGCTTTTAACGAACACACATACAGTGCCTCCCCCCCAAGAAGAGAGGTTCCACTAGGAATGTGCATTTCCTGGAAATAACTCATTTTCTGAGACATGACTTTTAATGAATTCTGAAATACCTTTGCTCTTTCACCACCAACCAGAACCAACTGGGAGAAAGGGGAGTAGAACATTTGCCTCATCAGGAGGTCATCTCCATGGAATGAATAAGGTTCATGAAAGAAATGCATTTGGTGGAGAGGATACTACCAGTCACTTAAATTACCTCAAGCAAAGCCAAAGGTAATGATATGTCTGCCCAGGAAATTCCCGTGCTGCAGATTAACTATTAGCAGGTATATTTTTGAACAGTCTTTTCATTTCAATATCTAATCATTTTCACTTAAGCCTTATCAATACATCAGTGACGTTCCTCACTAGCATTTTCTTTGGTATGCAACCGAGACTAGAGGACCTCAGCTCTTACACGGAAACAAGACTGCCAACGTTCCAGTTTCTATTACTTTATATAATACTGAATGTAACCTTAGGAATCCATTCATTTCCTGTAATAGCAGTGATAGCTTATTATACATTATAATTAAATAATACCAAAACGCAGCCTCTTTAAATGAAATGTCATTTAAAAATATCCCAGAGGATCCCATCTTGGTACCTTTCACCGTCTCCCAAGGCACAGGGATGTGAACAGACAGTCTTAAAACTACGTCCAAAGAGTTAAAGGCAGCTCTTACACAGGTGTATAAACCTGTAACTGAGTTTTATCACTTCAGATTGAAGTGATTAAAAAAAGAACATGGTCCACCACCTCCATTAAAAAACAACAACACTGTCCTCCCATGTATAAATCAAGAGGGTAGAATTCTTTCATTCCCCAGATACAACACTTTTCTGCACAGAGGTTCTGGGGATGTGAAGAAAGAGTGTTAATGTTCTCGTCTATTCCTCCAACCTACAATCTGAAGTCGATGAACCAAGAACAGGCCTGAGATATGGAAGAATCCAAGTTATAATAAATACACTGGGCCACTTTAGGTTCAGGCATTCTGTCTGCCACACAATAACCCTGGGTTCTCATGGTGAAAGAGTTTTGTTTTCAAAACCTGCTTACGTTTGGAGGTTGTGCTTTAAGTCCCGTCGGACAGTCACGCTTTCAGCTGCTGTCCCTTCAAATTGTTCCCTGTAGAGCTGAAAAAGTTGAAGCGTGAATCTGTTGGGCAGTCATCGGGCAGAGCAGCTTTTTGTGTCTCCGAGACCGTCGGACAGGATATTTCTGGGCTCCCTTAGAAACACCAGCAGAACAGTGATGTTGTCAGTGGACCCGCTCTCCTTGGCTGCAGCCACCAGACTCTCCGCCGCGTTGAGACCCTCTCCTTTGTTTCGCCTTAAGTGCTCAAGAACATGGTCCACCACCTCAAAAGGCTGGATGGCGTCAAAGAATCCATCACAGGCTAGAAGCACGTAATCTTCAGCACCAGTCAGTTCAAAGGAGGCACTATCGGCACAGCCAGAAACATAAGGCTTTTGAAGCAGATCACCTAGAGAAGACAGGGAGACTGCAGTAACGGTTCATAAAAATTTCAGATTTTGAGGCATCCCACCCTTTTTTTTGTGAGTATCCAAATCCTTTCCTTTATTTTTGTGAACATCCAATCCTCTCTATGAACACTGCTGGTTACAGAAATATTCGAAATTAATCCCAAAATAAGTTTTTTTTTCATACAAGCATTTAACTCAAGGTGTAGTGATAATAAAAAAATATATATTTAGACAAAGAGTACTAGATGTTGGAGCTCAAACTAACCTCACTGTTTTCAGATCCTTGAAAAATGTCAAATGGTGAGTGGGTACAAAATGCTTAGTGGGGACTCTGGAAAGCCGTTGCGGGATTACATTTTGAACAAATGGAATCAATGATGAAATCGGGGAGATTCCAGGGTATATCAATTCAAGACAGACGGTGTATCTGTGAGGCACCAGGTATGGAAGAGCTAACTGGTTATATTCTTGGCTGTCAGTTATGTACAGACATCAGAGAATATTATCTAGATCCCTTGTTGAAGAGAAGAAACCCTGGGGAGTAAAAAATAAACCAGACTTCCTCCTTCAAGGGACAAAGTAATGCATGACCCAAAACACTGCCCTATTCACGATAAAGGTGTCCAGATGCAGGGAGAAATTTAAGGACTCCAGACTAAAACTAGCACTGAGCCCCGATAATATAATAACATGAATGTGATCTGATAAACTCACTAATTTTAGTGTGTCTTAATATAATCACAGTCAAATACCACTCTGTATCTGATTAATCTATCTCATGAGTTGATTCAAAGGTATCTAAAGTAGTAGGATGGGGAACGCATGCCCCTCCAAATAATCACAGTCTGAAAACATCTAGAGGTCCACACACTCTCCATTCCTGTTGTAAGCAGAGCTCTTTCAAAAATCTCTTTGGAAGCAGAATGTGAATTTGGGCTACAGAAGCAGCACTGAAGATATTTTGTGGGCAACATGACATACATACCCTATCTTGATCTTTTAATTTTTTTATTTCTCTTGAAATTACTCCAGCATTTTGCCCACACAGGAACATATACGTCTTACGGTGGTCAAAATCTGCATTAAATATGCACTTTATTTTAGTTTAGCCACTGTGTTTTTTCCTTATCCTTAACTCCAGCATTTTGCCCACACAGGAACATACATATGTCTTATGGTGGTCAAAATCTGCATTAAATATGGACTTTATTTTAGTTTCACCACTGTGTTTTTTCCTTATCCTTGTTATGCATGGAACTATTTCTCTTATTTATATTTTGCAATTAAATTGCATTGGCTTAATCTGGAAATTGTGAACTAAGGCAAGTATCACACAAGAAAAAGAGCCTCTATGTCAGATATGATGAAGTAAGCTAGGAAGATGTGCAAAACACTCTAATGAAATGTTGCTTTAAACTGTTTGGTTTTGAAAACTAACTTGTTAGTTGTTGGTGGGGACCTTCAAAGGGTGAGAAGTTCTCATCTATCAGGTTGTGATGCAAGATCTAGCCAAATTCTGAACGTTCATGTACCTCCAAAGAGAAGACCACGGTTAATGCTAACTATAATTTAGAATCCCAACTACTATCTGATTCACAAGCTCATAAGGTCACTCCTGCTTCCATGCTGCTACAATATTAGAGGTAGAACAACAGGATTAACATGAGATGGTTAACCAAAATCATGCCAAGCACAAACTGCGATTGAAATCCTGTTGCTTAGGAAGTTGCACTAGAACAGGCCTACTGAATCAGTAGAGATTTAGTAAGTCAAATCTGAATCAATAGAACCTATATATTATTAGTTGCTTCCCCAAATTCTCAGCGATTCAGTCCACGACTTGTAAACCAATATCAAACCATGTTTTTACTTCTGGCTCACTGGCCAATTACAAAAATATGCCTTTGTAACACTATTAAATTTTCTTAGCTGTTTTGGCATGGAGACTGGAGGCAGCCACAGGCTTCTCCCTGTGGTCCTTCAGCTCATTATTTGATTTTTTTCAATATACTTTTCATTGAAATGATAGGAAGGGTCTGGTTAAAGACTCTTCCTCTTCACACACAGGAGGCATTGGCAGTATGAACACTTTGCTATACAGTGGTGCCTCGCTTAACGAGTGCACTGTATAGCGATGTTTCCGTATAGCGATCCCTTTTTCGGAAGTTGCACTAGAACAGGCCCACTGAATCAGTAGAGATTTAGTAAGTCAAATCTGAATCAATAGAACCTATATATTATTACTTGCTTCCCCAAATTCTCAGCGATTCAGTCCACGACTTGTAAACCAATATCAAACCATGTTTTTACTTCTGGCTCACTGGCCAATTACAAAAATATGCCTTTGTAACACTATTAAATTTTCTTAGCTGTTTTGGCATGGAGACTGGAGGCAGCCACAGGCTTCTCCCTGTGGTCCTTCAGCTCATTATTTGATTTTTTTTCAATATACTTTTCATTGAAATGATAGGAAGGCTCTGGTTAAAGACTCTTCCACTTCACACACAGTAGGCATTGGTAGTATGAACACTTTGCTATAGATGGTGTTCTGAACAGGAATGAAAGTACTGTATCAGCAATGAAGGCGCGAAAATGGCTGCCGGCAAGGGGAATCCTCGCTGAACGGGTAAGTAAACAAGGTATTGGAATGCATTAAACTAAGTTTAATGCGTTTCAATACGTTTCCCCTACCCGTTTAGCGATGATTCCGTATAGTGAGGGTTAATCCGGAACGGATTAACCTCGCTATGCGGGGCACCACTGTAGATGGTGTTCTGAACAGGAATGAAAGTATCAGCAATGAAACAGGTTTTCACCAGTGAACTACTAATGGAGTAAAAACATGGCATGTGTCCATACATATATACACACTCATTTTAAAATGCAATAACTTGCTTTCCAATCCCCACCCAAAATAAGCTAAAACATGTATAAAACACACAATCCACAACCTATAACCTGGCAAAGGATAAAAATTAAAATCAGTTCCTAAAACTAATGTTATACAACCAAACATAAAAATTCAATTCTGCACAAATCTTATAGAAAACTAAGATGTCAGGTTGATATTGGGAGTATTCCCAAAATAGTGGCATCATTGTCTTATGTAGCTTCCAGTGTTATTGTAAGAGCACCGAGCAGGGCATTTTTAGATGACTCAGGTAATAAAAAGAAGTCATGTGGTCCTTGCACACAATCCAAAGACAAGGAGTGGTGAGATCTTAATTAGATCATTTAAAAAAATCACAAAGAAATGCTAGCTTTCAACCATACAGGTCTTTGTCAGGCTGGTTATCACTCTACTGTGGGTGATGAAGGAAAAAAAAACGTGAAAGGGATGAAATCAGCTCACATGGAAACCTAACATTAAAAAACCCATATTATTTATCAAGAATTGGCTCTTAACAGAAATTAATCAATGGAGACCAAATAATAAATACTGAACAAGGATTCAAATGTGAAAAGTTCAGGGAGACCCTCGGATGTGCTCTCTGTTTTGTGTACAGTGGTGCCTCGCTTAACGATTGCCCTGCATTACGACGAAATTGCTGTACGACGATCTTTTTGCGATCACAATTGTGATTGCAAAGCGATGGTCTAAATAGCGTTTTTTTGCTTTGCGACGATTGGTTCCCTGCCTCGGGAACCGATTCTTCGCAAAACGATGTTTTTTAAGCAGCTGATCGGCGGTTTCAAAATGGCCGCCCGGTCCTTAAAATGGCTCCCCGCTGTGTTTAGGGACGGATTCCTCGCTATACAGGCAGTGAAAATGGCTGCTGTATGGAGGATCTTCACTGGATGGTGAGTTTTTACCCCACTAGAAAGCATTAAACGGATTTCAATGCATTTCAATGGCGTTTTTCATTTCGTTTTACAATGTTTTCGCTTAACAGCGATTTTCCAGGAATGGATTATTGTCATTAAGCGAGGCACCACTGTACTGCTTTTTGTTCCCCAAACAAAGATTTCACAGCACCACACGTGAAACTCAAAGCAAAACCATAATGGGGAGAATCCTCCTGCATTTTTACAACACACACAAGAAGAACTGTATTACATTCTTATAGCTAACTGATGAGGCACAGAGGTGCATGCCAGGCACACTATTAACAAGAGAACAGCACCTCAAGTAGTGCTTAGTAGTGACTCCGACACTTCTTAGTTGCACATAAAAATCCAGTATAATTCTAACCAGTGAAGACAACATACTTTGGCACTAAGACAGCCTAAGAAATGCCTTCTCCTATACAAACCTATCTGTACACTGTAATCCTTGGGGAACATTTAGTCTGTGTTTTGCCTCTGTGTGAAATACACTGGGTGTGTGCACAAGCGGTAGCCTTTTCAGCACTGCTATCTATTGCACCAGGATGCATATGTGGCTCCTTCTCTGCATGTGTTTATTTAGCTTTTAAAATCTTTATAGTGTAGTTTTTGGTCCAAAGAAGGCCATCAAGATGGCTCCCAACAAAAAAAAATACCAGTGTTTATCATTACAGTGTAAAAATATATTTAGGCCCCAGGCTAAATATTGCTTTTTAAGAAAGTGTTTGTAAAGTGCAATGGCTGGATGCTCTGATGGTTTTATTTGCCTCCTGCTGCTTTTTAAAAAAGTTATTATTTTTGCCTCTGCTGATATACTGCTTATTCCATGTTTTACTGATTTTTTTTTACAGACTGTGAGTTGCCTTTACAAAGTAATCTTTATGAAAAGAAAAGCAGTCTACGTGTGCTTTTAATAAACAAATGACTAAAGCATTTCACATGCAGAAGTGTAAACAAGGTTATAAATTGCTGTCTCAAAATCTGAAAACACCCCAATGTCTGTTAAAATAAAAGGAAGAAAGAGTAGCAATAGCTTCTGATACCAGAAACACTTTTAGGGCATCTTGGGTGGCACATCTACATCGTTAAACTATCATAACAAATGCTTCCAGGAGGCATCTGAAGGAGCTTTATTCTTTAGTGTGTGCACTCTCAGGTGTGTGTTACTATGGCAATGTACAGTGCAGAACAATTATTAATGTAGGTGCAATAATAGCAGCAACTGAGTCCAAGGTTAGCAAATCTCTCTCTTAATGCTAAGAAGAAGAACGAATGGTATTATACAAAAAAGATTTAGACCGGTTTTCTCTCCTGTCCCATTTATTATAGGCTTCCAGAAGACACATTCATTTGGTGCCAAACAACTGCTTTCAAAATATGTAAACTCTTTAATTGTCGAGTTTCTAATTGTTGCAACTGTGCTTTGAAATAACTTCTTATGAGAAATGTGTAATTTCAAACTGTGGGAATAAAAAAACCAACCTCCCATTACTCATATATATTACCATTTTAAAATTTGAGCTAAATAAATTAAACGAATTGTTTGTTATAGCTCTCATAAGCCTTGAGAACGGTGCTTACCAATAGCTCTGGAAACAGCCAGGGTTCCGTTAACGCGCCAGCAGTCCATGTAAGTTACACAACCTCCTAATGCTTCGATGCGTTGTCTCTCATCCTACATAGACAAATGTTGCTCCATGAGTGACATCTATAGTTGCATTGATGAAAACCTGTTTATGTCCAGCCTAATGCAATTCTACCTGGGTTTTAAGGCTGTCTTGATAGCTATACAACGTTCAGTCATTTCAGGGGTGAGAATCACTTTATTCCTGCCACGGATTTTGATGGCTGCCCTCCATCCTTAGCATTCCAATTTCTGGTTCCAGCAGGCATGCTGTGCCTCCCCCCAGAAGCTTCAGGAATATATGATTTCCTATGTAAACATCATGCCCTTGGACCCCCCCCCCCCGAAGCTTCAGGAATATATGGTTTCCTATGTAAACATCATGCCCTTGGGCCACATTTAGATACAAGTGACTCCAGGGGGACCAGGGTTAAGACAAAGGTAGCCCTTGGAAATACGCATGTAGTCTGCAGGCTCTACTTTGCTCACCTCTTTCCTAACTCCTGGTAATAATACTCCCCAAACTTACCGTATTTTTCGCTCTATAAGACGCACTTTTCCCCCACAAAATGGGGTGGAAAGTCTGTGCGTCTTATGGAGCGAAGAAAACAGATTATTTTTCCCTGTTTTCTTCTCCTAAAAATTTGGTGCGTCTTATGGAGAGGTGCGTCTTATGGAGCGAAAAATACGGTAATTCCCAGTCCCAAAATATTCGCTATAAGCAGTCCTTCCAACACTACAGATGATCTTCGCCGAGTTGTCATGTTTTCTTCCAATAAGGACGCCTTAACTATTTCAAGAAGTACCTTGGTTTGTTTTCATCAATATACCGTGTTTCCCCGAAACTCACAGTATTTTATGGCTCAAATATTCTTAACAATCCATAGATTTGGGAAGTTGGGAGGTCCTCACTGGGACACTTCAGGGCCTTTAAATCTTAATTTGGAGACTAATCTATTATTGCCTACCTAGGGAGTCCCAGAAACACATAGAGTTCTTTTTAAAAAAAACTTTGACTAGGCAGGTTGCATGTTAGAAAGAATAATAAAACATTCACAAAAGCCACGACCTTTGCGAGAAAGATAAAGGAGTAGCCGTTACCTCTCTCTCTGGTTTATGAGGTTCCATCAGGGTTACAGCTTTTCTGTCCCGGACCAGCATAACCTGGGAGTCGCCAAGCCAAGCGATATGTAACTTGTTCCCAACAATCAAGGCAGCCACCCCGGTGCTACCGCTCCGTAGCTTCTGTGGATTTTTTTTTTAAAAAAAGAGAAAATATGTTTTGAAGAGTCTTCTAGAGGATGGAACAATTGTGTGGGGATAATTGCTGCTCATTACTTAAGTACGCAACAAGCTAGTGTCAAAGACACTCTTATTAGTGATGTGAAAAGAATTACTGTGAATCCACACCAGCCTATTTAGTTGTAATGAGATCTATCTGATTGTTCAAAACATCTGTCAAGGAATGAAACATGACTAGTTATTGTGCACCCACATATGACACAAACACAAATCCACATGCCACAGCCTTTTTAATTCGGCTATGAATTCCGCAACTGAGGTTCCAATCTTATCCAAACTTAAATAGTTAAGTGCTACTCAGAGCTGGAAAAAGTTACTATTTTTGCCAGGATGGACAAGCATAGTGAGAATGGTTATCCAAAGACAGTCGTGCCCCGCTGGACAATTATCCCGTTTAACGATGAATCCGCTTAACGTTGAAGTTTTTGCGATCGCAAAACAATGTTTAGATTGGGTTTTTTCACTTCACGTTGATCGGTTCCCTGTTTTGGGAACCGATTTTTCGCTTTACGACGATCAGCAAACAGCTGATTGTCTGGTTTCAAAATGGCCGCCGGCTTTCAAAATGGCCCCCCGTTGTTTTCTAGGACGGATTCCTCGCTATACAGGCACAGAAAATGACTGCCGTATGGAGGATCTTTGCTGGACGAGCAGGTATTCAGCCCACTGGAACGCACTGAATGGTTTTCAATGCGTATCAATAGGTTTTTTAATTTCGTTTGACGTTTTCGCTCTACAGTGATTTTGCTGGAACGAATTAACGTCGTCAAGCGAGGCACCACTGTAACCAGTTCTGGTCCCACTGAACTAACTCATCAAAACTTCTTTGGGCCTATGCAGTCAGGGCCATTTGGCAAGCAAGACCATGTTAACACCTGATTGTTGTTTCTGTGTACGAAACACTGTAAATAAGCTGTCGTGTGAAAACATGCCTTTTAACTTCTCACCAGCGCAACTGCAGCAAATATAGTCGTAAATGCAATAGTGACACTAGATGAGCTTCACTGAGTTTTCATGTT